GGCGATGACAAATAGGATTTCGAAGAATTTTTCGGACAAAAAAAGGCGATTGTAAATAGGATTTCGAAGAAACTCAGCAGTTAAACAAATTAATTGTTGGGATATGTATAGCCACAACCAAAACATTAAAAGAAAGACAAAATGGATGCGTAAATGAAATCTAGAATGAGTAACTGATTTTTTTGGAATTGAATACATGTAATTAAATAAATTTGGGAAGAGAGAAACCGAGGGAGAGAGGGGGCGGTGTGCTTGTGTCTGATCTATGAAAACACAAAGGAAAAAGAAATAGACAGACGGAGAGGGGAAGATGAAGGGAAGGGGATGCGAATTTGTATGAGGGAGAGAGAGAGAGAGAGAGGGAGAAAGAGTAGGAGAGAAGGAGAAATTGTAACCATTGATAAGTAAAGCGTAGGTCTATGATTAGGGAATTTGAGAGAGGAAATAGGGGGAGGAAGAGAAAGTAGGAATAGAGAGAGACAGGTTAACGAGAGATTAATGGGAAGCAATTAACTCTAGAGGATATGGATGATATAATTGTAATGTTAGAGGACAAAATTGAGAAAAAAATATTTTTCAAATATCCTGTTATTTTAAAGTAGTATAGATTGTTTGCTTATAAATATTTATTGTTATGATTATAGAGCGATAAACTACAAAACTCTTTGAACACATGATAATTGATAATACTTACAAAACACCCATGTGTCTTCCAAGTTATATGAATTATATTTGAAATCAAAAAGGAGTAAAGATTAAAAATAAAAAATTACACATACTTCTTTGCCTAAAGAAGTATCCGCGAAGCACCTATATATTTTATTTATTATTGGATACGTTTGTTGTGTATCCAATATGTATTTTCGAATATTCAACGAGTATTGTACCCGATACGGATACATCAATCTTAACGAAATATTCGTGCTTCATAGTAGATGGTTGAGGTATTCACCTTCACCGTAAGATCTCAAAAATTTGAGCTTAGCAACAAGTTGAGTTTCAATACATAGTTTCATTGCAAGAAAAACGACATTTATCGGCGTTTATTAAATGCAGATAAAATGTAAATAAACGCTACAAAATATTATTATTGACGTTTGCTTTTAATGTTGTCGAAACTTTCGTCGAAAAAATTACCGGCGTATAATTAAACGCCACAAAAATTAAAGTGACGTTTACTACAACTAAAGCGATACTTATTTAATCAACAACGTCCTTGAAAAATTTCGATGACTGGAGCTATATTACGGAGTTTATTTAAACGCCAATAATTATTATTTATGAGCAATTTTTTTTCCGGCGTTTAAGTAAACGCCAGTAATGATAATTAATATTTTTTTTAATCAAAATAGAAAATTTTATTTATGAACAAAATAGAATTACAAGAAGCAAAAGGAGAAAGACTAACCAATCTCCATGACAAGGAAACAAGAAGATAAACAAAACTAGGAGAAGACTACTCCTCCATCACTCAACCCCTTTACTATTTAGCCATGTCAGCATTCAGACAGTAGAAGCTGAAGCACTAGCAGCATAACAGCAACCCATAAAACAACATCTCCAAAACAAAGTCTTCACCACAGCCACCCTTACCTACCAAAGATTTCAAACAGCAGAGGCTAAAACATTAGCCCTTATCATCAATAATCACAATTTTCCTCTTGCGCAAAACAAGCAAACCAAGCTGATCAGAAAACAAGGTCAACCTAACCTCACCAGGTAGCTTCAGCTCTATCAAAAAATCAACAGAATTCCTCATTAAAATAGCATGAGCAGCTAACCTATTAGCAACTGCATTAGCTTTCTGAAAAATATGTACCGGGCTGAATTCCAAACAACCTAACATAGACTTGATGAAAAATAAGCACTAGCAGCATTGCAGTTTCACTAGAACGGGAATTTTAAATATTCAGGGATTCTCCACCAGATGAAAAATGGATAGTCAAGCTACTAACAATACCTTATATGACCAAAGAAGATAAAATGGATTGACACATTTCCATGGCAATCTACTGCGAACAAAATATGGGTAAAAAAGTACAAATCAAAGAAGAAAATAACTAAAATTTCTATATATCATGCTTTTGAAGAAAAGCAACAAAAAATATCAGAAGCAACATGGATACTGGAACCAAACAAATATCCTAAAAACCTTATCGTAAACAAGAATTTCAAAGGCATTGAACCTCCAATAAATGATTGATGCGGATAATGAATTTATAAATCAAAGTAAAAACTAAGACCTTCCGCAAAATCGATTCAAATGTGGATCACGTGCTTTATTTTGCTTGGCCAAATGACTGGCTGTAGGTTTCATTAAAGTTGAACTCCTTGGTTTAACTGATTTAACCATTGAATTTCTTTTAGCTTTCAAAATGTCTTGAGCCATGCGAGTATGATACTTCAGTCCTGCAGTAATTCAAGAAGGAAACCATGACACATTGTTAGAGCAGAATGAACAAACAAAAACAGAGAGAAATATCTACAACAAACATTATCTGCCTTGGCTTAAAGAAATCCTTGTTGAGTCAAGTAAAGCATGCAATTTATTCACAGAGCATAAATTGCAAACCAAAATGAGAATATGCATATGTTTGAAAATTGATCCTCATACATGAAGCAATTGAAAAGGTATATACAAGTAGTTCTGATTTTATATAATGAATGTATTACTTGACTTCAACAATATTATGAGGCTGACTAAAGTGATACACATGGGGAGAAACTACATTATAAAAAGAGAGAATATTACAATGCCAAAGAAGTTTCACATTATACATTCTTCCAACTATTAGATTAGAAAAATTCTTCTGAAAACCTCCTCACACTGATTCCCACAGAATGAACAGAACACACAGAGAGCATAATCCAATAGTACATTATCCAGTCTTATCCACAAAAGTAAACAACCTTGATGCATATATATATCTAGTTCTATTTCCAATAATTCAAACTTCAGTATTACCACGTTACTCCAAAAAATTCTTACTTACATAATTTGTTTTGGAAGAGCAAAACCAACAGAAATATCCAATTTGCTCTAAGTCTTTTTGTCAAATCAATGACAAAAATCGCAAAATTCCAAAAATCAGTCTACCAACTTCAACAAAAAAACTTACATGCAAGGAAATGGACAAAAAACAGGACCTTATATTGGTTCAATCAACGAATGATGACACATGACATAGGAACATAATGCAAAGACATAAACATTAATTTGTTAATGTTTTTTAGTATCAAACCTAGTTTACATATATTCATTGGTTATAAAATACTTATGCGAATGCGAATCACTTCTAGCGAATTCGAACCAACAATCGACTCCATCTTCTATATATATATATATAGACACACACACCAAACACCGGAACAAAAATTTCAAACGAAAAATTTAGAAGACAATATTGAGGTTTTCGATACTTTCAGAGAGAAAACGACCAGAGATTAAGAAAACAATCAGAGGTGCACATGAGAGAGAGCCAAAGAGGAGTCACTTGTGAGAGGGACGACATGGAGTCATCTGAGAGAGGGACGACGACAAGGAGTCGCCCGAGAATAGCGTCATCGCCAGAGAAGTCGAAAGAATGAATTGGAAAAAAATTTAGGTTAATGTTGGGGGAGGAAAAAAGAAGCCTTTTATTATTTTTTAATTAAGAATTTGTGGCGTTTAACTTAAACGCCGGAAATTAAGCAATTTTTTTTTAATTATTTCTAGCATTTATAAACAGATGCTAGTTTTAATGGCGTTTAAGTTAAATGCCGGATTTTCCCATAATTCTTGTAGTGCTTAAATTTATAAATGACACTAGGAACACCTAACTTATATTTCAAAGGGTTATATCTAAGTATTAGTTATTGCCCATTCCTAAAGGCACTTTGTGTAATGAAAAAAATCATTTAAAAAATATGAGCATTAGCAAAAGAAAAATACAAAGCACATAATAATAACAATAAATATTTAGAACCGATGAATATATTAAAAAAAAGGGACAAAATTACCTCTAAAAACATAACTCAAAAAAATTGAACACATACACAATTTACATATTTTAGCACCATACATTCAATGACCTCTTTGGCTATAATTTCACAGACCTTCGGACTACTGGAGAATCCTGGTTACTGCTCGTTACCATCGTCGTTAGTGGTTGCTCATTGTCGGTGCACGTACATATCAAAATTTTGGCAATGTGTGCTCAATGTTTGGATCCAAACCAACCATCCTCACTACATATCATTGCAAGAGAAGTTGAAAATCAAGAATTAACCAAGAATTAAGATTTGATCAACTCCAAGTAAATGAATAACTGGCGTTTTTACAAAGACCAATTCAATATCCAACAAAAGCCAAGCAATACGCTAATAGGTAAGAGGACACCCCAGTATGATGAATAAATATGATCATGGTCATGATTATAGTGACAAATAAATTCATCTTCTTCTAAGCACCAAGCAAATAACGTTGGTCGTTAAATTGAAAACAAAGCACATAGTATTAGCTAAATACCATTGATTAAAATTAGTGTCACGTATACATGAAACGAATAGTTGTATTACTCCAACGAAGCAAAATTACTTGGGAAACTCGTATCAATACAGCAACACCAATAAAAACCCATAAAAGCTAAAGGAAATAATGCAAACTAATGAGAAACTGGTAAATATCACTAAGTTCAAGACCTCATACCTCTCGGTTGTTCAAGAACTCCAACCTTTAAGTTTAATAAATTGACATCCGTACCTCAATAAGCTATTTTTCTATATCTGCATACCAATTATAAAGTGAAAAATTATACCACTTACAAATTGCTGCATGAAAGAATAGCGTAATCAAAAACAAAAGAAAAGGGCAAACAAAGAAATAAATTCATTCAAAAATTCACTTTATTGATCCATAACACACCCAAGTTAAAATATCAACCATAATAACCAAAAGATTGTACTCAATTTTGATAAGTTGTCCCTTTTATTTGGTTAACATTATACCTAATTTTGACGAAATGTTTGTGTCTAAAATCACTATATAACAAAAAAACAAATGGCTAATTAAAAAAATGAGCATTAGTAAGAGAAATGACACACATGATGCATTAAGATATGACTCACTCCAAGCTCATGAAATAGAGTGACACATTTTCAATTTTACACCTCACATACCAAATAGGCATGGTTTGGACAACTGTGAATTCTTTCTTCTTTATTACATTGTGCCATTTACACTTGCTATGGCTTGAGACACCAAAAATCCCATTCACATGGCATGTTTGCTTTCTATACTCTTATCACTTTTTAATACCAACCGCCACCTCATACATATATTGATCTATCCATATCAACCAGAAAGTCGAACACTAACAGCGATGGCTCAATAAACACACAAACACACACGCATGACAACGATTCATCATTCACATACCCACATTTAAAAGTGGGGATGATTTCCATAATAGAAACCACCCAATAACTGCACGGCGTTACCTGTAGAAGGTCGCCGGGGAAGTGGATCGGATTCCGGCGGAAAGAGAATGGCTGTTACCAGTGAGAGATCACTGTCTGAAGGGAAGGTTTGGAGTCTCTGCAGAATGCCATTTTGGCACTCCAGCAATGCTGATGCTTCTTCTTCATCTTCTTCTTCCCTGAGTGTTCACCACCAAAACCAGCTTGTGGATCAACCTGATGTCCATTCTCTGACTTTGGTCTCGTCCGTGGCAAAGTCTTTTCTTCCAACTCGGCGCCGACTCAGTCTTGATCTCCCCAACAAACTCTACTTTCCCTATGAGCCTGGTAAACAAGTCAAGAGTGCAATCAGGATCAAAAACATCAGCAAGTCTCATGTAGCTTTCAAGTTTCAAACAACTGCACCGAAGAGTTGTTGCATTCGTCCTCCTGGTGAAAGTCTAATTGCAACTGTATTCAAGTTTGGGAGCATCCAGAGAACGATGAGAAAATACAAGGTCTGAAGACTAGGGTCAAGTTCAAGATTATGAACTTGAGAGTGAAAGGAGAAATGGATTATGTACAAGGGCTGTTTGATGAGCAAAGAGATCAAGTAACGGAGGAGCAGATTTTGCGAGTTGTTTTCCTTGACACAGAACGTCCTTGTCCTGCACTGGAGAAACTTAATCGTCGATTGGCCGAGGCTGAGGCTGAGCTTGAGGCATGCAAAAAGCCTCCAGAAGACACAGGTCCACGAATTGTTGGAGATGGACTAATTATAGATGAATGGAAAGAAAGGAGGGAAAGGTACCTTGCTCGTCAGCAGGTTGAAGGGGTCGATTCAGTCTGAATTCAGGCTGTTTCCTCTTGATTGTAGCAGAAACTGGAGGTTTTGTAATGTCCTAGTAAATTCTTATTCCTGGCTTCTCAGGGGTTGGATTACACTGCAGTCAAGGGGGTCCAGAAAAAGGTAAATTAGAAGCCTGTTTGTAGTCTTGAGACATGAATATTTACGTGTTATCCATGTCTTATGCATATCCAACACAACCCAATACTTCCAGCACATTTGGAACCTTGCTATTGGATGGTGATAGCACATCTCACCGTTGACTTGGTATCACAGGTGTACTGAATTTTTATAGTCGATTATGGGCTCATGGCTTCTTATTTGTAGATAGCGGGAATATAATTTGAATTAATTTTTTTGTGATCATTAGTTGTCTAGTCCTGATGAGTGATGAGGCTCATAATTTTTTGGATGGAGAATCACACATGACAGAGAGATTTCTACAAACTAAAAAAAAAAATACATATATTGATCGCACCATTTCTCATGTGTGGTGGACATTTGTTAACCTTATTTACTACACTTAAAAAAAATGATAATTAAATTCATATCAACAAAACAATGACTTGTCAACCGTCCAAAGCTAAACAAATATTCTAAAAGAGTGCAATTGTTCATCTAAAACCTACGAAATTTACACCTACAACTATACCATGAAATCTTGCATTGACTAATTAATAACCGACTCTATTTCTACTTTAAGCTCCGCTACACAACATTCCTCGAAACTTGAAAACTTTCATACTCAGCTAAAAAATTATCGAAAAGGAAACAAAAGTCAAAATTAAAGTGTAAGTTTCTAAAATTTTAAGAAACTATAACATTAAAAAAATTTGGAATGAACACATCATAATAGAAAGAAACAACACTGCCTTCAATTCAATTGATGTTTAATGCAGAGAGGAAGACCACACCATAATGAAACCTTTAATCGGTTTGCACATAAAAAAAAAAAAATTAGCATTCAAAGGCTTGTTCCCGCATAATGTTTATTACGGAACATCTCAAAATGATGCACATTTTTTATAATAAGAAACACAACTTCTTGGAATCATACACATAAATATTGAGAATGTAAAGTGAAAAAAGAAACAAAATGATTCTATAGCCATATTCATTTTCACTTGGTTCAAATAATATTCCATTACAATGTTCAATCGATTCCTTTAAGGCAGTTTCTCAAACAGGTGGAAGGTAGAGGCTGATTGTAGTGTTGTGGTGTTTTTGTGTGTGTGATTTGCTTGATGGAGAAAGGGGGAGACACAAAGAGAGATGAGAAAGGGAGGGGGTGCACAAAGATTACCTGTAGCCAGTGATTCGTTGGTGCTTTCTCTTGGATTGGCTTTGGACAAATGAATGATCGATGGAAGCAGAGATCAATGGAGCAAATAATATACTTGAAGGTCTAATTCCGACGACTATTGGGTTACTTCCAAGGATTCAAGTGATACCTAAAGTTTGAGACATATATTAGAGATGTGTATACATATATAGAGATGAATAGCAATTGTTGAGAGAGAGAGAGAACATGATGTACATGGAAATAGAAGACATATGTAAAGGCATATGTTAGGAGCTCTGATGTCGCCGCATCTACTGGTAGAGGGAGAGACTTCGAGAGGGGGATTTAATTTAAGTTGACTGAAGGGGAGAGAGTATGAGAGAATTTGGGGCGGTAGATTAGGACTTGATAGAGAGATAGAGGGACAAATATGGGGCAGCCGGAGATTTTTGGCTTTGAGGTATGTTTTGAAAGGGGAGAGAGAGGCAGAAGTGAGATTGAGATGGATTCCATGGGGATGAGTTTGGAAGGCAGGGATAGAGGTGTGAGAGATTAGAAGAGAGAGGCAGAAGTGAGATTGAGAAAGATTTGAGAGATTTCGGAGGAGAGAGAGAAGCATGAGTCAAGAAATGTTGTTAGGTGGGAAAACTTTTGTCCTAGATTATCCACAGCATTTGAAGGTGTTTAGAGTGTCTTTGTAGGGTCGAGTCAATTCTCACAGTAGCCTATGGTACAAGATCTTCCCTGAGAACTTGTCCTGAATATAGAAGTGGTTAGAATCAAAGATGAATAGAAAATGATTATCTAAACAAAACTGATGTACTGCGAGTAGGTTTGAGACAATAGAAGACACATAATGTTTTTCAATTGGGTTTTGTGTGATGCTGTTTGAGTGAGGTCTGACCAGTGTGTGTGATTGAAAGATTAGTCCCATTACCTATAGAGACTATGTCCTGTCCATTGTAGTTATTTCAAAGGGACAGATTTGCTAGATCAGGCATGATATGAGTAGAAGCTCCAGAATCAGTAATCTATAAATTAGAGCTATTTTGAGAGTTGTTTAGTGAGGTAGCCATTGTTGATACTTGTTTGCCATAGACAAAATTCAAACTATGATAGCTTGGGATGTATTGAATTGATTTGCTTGATTTAAGAATTGTGTAGTCATCTATTATCCTGGATTGCTAAAGATAGCTTCAGAATTGTAATTAGGATATGAATTAAACCTTCCTCCTCCTCTGTTGCCTTGCTTACCTCGATTTCTGCCATATGAGTCATAACCTCATCCTCGTCCTCTATGATTAGATCCAAAGTTTCTAACTGTTCTAGTATTGGCTGATATAGTGGAAGCTGTCGTATAGGAGTACGAATATGTTTATTCTAAATAATACAAGAAGAAAGTGATGATTCTTCTCCCTTAAAGAAGAACATGAAGTTCTTCCAAAGTCACTGGTTCATATCTGGCTCCGATGGAGGTCTTGAATTCATTGTACTCTGTAGGGGGTGATTCAAAGTGTAAATCAGTATATCTCCATCATTAATACCGACAGATGCAGCTGCAAACTTATCTTTGATTTCTTTGATATTTTGAATATAGAAGTGGCAGATTGAGTTGCCATTGATAAGATGTTAGTCTCTTGAGATGGCCTTGATACCATGATAGAACATCACAGAGAGAGAGAGAGAGAGAGAGAGAGAATTCTCTTATTGAATAATTTTCTCAATACATTACAGTTAGTGTGACATTCCTTATACACACTTGAATACATAAAGATACATCACATCATCGAGTAACTAACTCTGTTTATACACGCGTGCATCTATTCTGAGTTGAATAGGTTGTTCAACAGGAGGTGATGATCTGTGATGACTGGATCATGAGGCTTACCACTTACTGCCAAACCCTGGCATCAAGGGTTAGCTCTAAATTAAGGTATTTTTGTCTTCTTTTCATTTGTTGCTGCTGCCTGCTGCTGCTTTATCCTCATCTGCTGTTACTACTTCTTTTTCATGTTGTGTGCTGCTGCTACTTCATTTTTTTTTTCTTTTGGGATGAATGATAACAAGGTAACTGTTGAATATATGCACAATTTTTACCATTAAAAAAAAAAAGCAGTGTAAAATTATCCTTGATGATAGCATGCATAATTCTTTGCTTTAATTGTGTCGAACTAAAAAAAAAAAAACTAAGAAACAAAAGGTAAGTTTAGACTGGTCAAAAAATTGTAAAGTAAATGGACCAACCTTCATTTAGGGTTTTATTGGAGACCAACCAATAACTATGTCATCAGAGCAATCAATGCGGCCTAGGTTTGGAATCTTTAATGCACATACTGGTCTGGAACAGAAAGTCTTCATTTTCCGACAACTTTGAATCCACAATCTTATTAATGAAGGAAATTCCAATTCAAACTTTGAAGAGCAGAAACCAGTGAAGTTTGTTAGAGATCTTAAGGCTAGATCGCTTAATTGTGGGAACTCGATTTTCTCCATGGCCATTTCTTCTCCTCCTTTCTTGGTTACTATCTCTTCCACTTCTTTGATCTCTGCACGATCTTGTTCTGGCTCAATAATTTCTTCCAGCATCTCACAGTGGGAAATGTCTAGTTCACGCAGATTAATGAGCAACTTTACCACAGTAAGTGGCAATACATATCTCATGCTTTTACAAGACGTGATTGCCAATGATGGCAGATTCTAGAAACCCTTAAGTTTTTTTGGGAACCGTCCTCCATATATGCATTAACGTAGGTGATACATGTACTTCCAATGACTTCAACTGACCCAGCGTGACTTGTACATGTTCTCCCCCAACTTCTGGCCCCTCGAAGTCAAACACTGCTCTCAGACCTTGACAATAATATACTTGAAGTTCTTGGAGGCTTTGAAATGATTTTGCTTGACCAGCTTCCATATGACAGTCCACTATGTATTCCAGGTTCATATAACGGACATGTAATGTCTCAATACTAGGCATCAAAACCTGTGATACCAATAATTTTATTGAAGACATTAATATTTTGAGAATATGAACATTACAAACCTCAAATCCAATGATCCTTTAGCAGCCACATCTAGTAATAGATAAACTAAATAAATCAAAAACAACGATGCATGCGTTGATTAATCCATTTTTGCATATACAACTCAACTTCCATGAAAGAAATCAATCTCAACTTAATAAATTTTTGTATCAAGAGGTTTACTATGTTAAACTTGTTTCTCTTACCGTGAAATCCTAAAAAGCAATAACAATTATCCAACTATAACCACGCAACTACTGAGTGGAGTGGTATAATGGGGTATTGACTGAACTTTTCACTTTGAAGTTGTAGGTTCGAATTTTGGAGTTCATATTAGGGTTTGGTGGTTGACCGTTATGTTAGTCTAATTAGGTTCGTTCCCGAAAGGTGTAACGGGCACGGTCAAGACCCTCATGATTCCACCAGTGAGGGTCTATCAGAGTGCTCTCTGTGCGCTCTTTTTTTTTTTTAAGTACATTTGACTTATACATAATTAGTATTGTTTAGAGATCTAAAAATACTAATTAATAAAATAGTAAATATGTTAGGTTTGTGATATTAGAATGAAGATTTTATTACTTGTACTAGTTTTTGGACCCGAGCTTCAATAGAAAATATCTTCCGAGAAGGTTTCGATAATCAAGGGAGAAGTATCTAGGTATATTATTCACATGTTAACTGATATGGAATAAATACTCTTAACTGAGTATAACGAACTAGGAAATATTCACTTAAGCTTAGTTAAACTGAACAATCAAGCATTCTAATTTTTTGCTACTAACGCTAGGTAGTCATGACAACTAACATCGAGTGATGAACCTTTAGTGAATTGAGCAAAATACAGTTGGATTGAAATTAAAGTGTAGTAAGAAAAAGCTCGGGTTCAAAGGTTAAAAGAAGAAAATTGTTTCCATAGTCCTATTAAACCCCTTGCCACCCAAAACAAGGATTATTTCAAGAACTTACTTTTTGTAATGACTTTAATTAGTCAAAGAACTTGCACAACCACATTTTACCACCAAAATAGCAGGAAAAATTCTCAAAAATCTTCTCCAATACTATACCCAAACATATTCCATTGATGAACACGACCATACTTCTAGTTTGCAGAGTTGCACCAAGCATTTAACAACTGACGGCGGGAACAGACATTTCATTGCACTTAGATCAGATAGCCGCAACTCTTGTAGTTGTCCAAAGGTCTCCGCTCGGAGATTGCTACAAGATAGATATTCAAGCCCCTCACAATTTGTAACCACCAATTTCTGGGACCTCAAGAAATCCTTTTTATCTAACTGACAGAATAAATTTGTTCCCATGCCCTTAACCTTGCGCAACTCAACGGTTTCACGTTGTCCCAATAGCACTTTAATCCCAATCTCCGAAAGCTTTAGGATGTCACAATCATAGAGAACCAACCTGTTTTTTAACCCATAATACGTCCAACGGGATATTGTATCAACTTTTGCAATAGTCATTTCAATATCAAATCTTCTCAGATTCGCCAAGCCAAAACCCATCAACTTCAATAGATTTGCAGGGCTCATCACAATTTTCAATGTAGTCAGATTAGACAGTGAATTCAACTCCGTAATGCTTGCAAGCCCCTGTTCCATAAACCGTTCTGCAAAGGAATGTTTCATGTACAACTCTTCAAGTTTAACCAACTTGGACAAAATACCTGGAAGTATTTCAAGGTGTAGAGCACACCTAAGATCTAGCACTTTCAAATGACCAAGTTGTCCTATTTCAATTGGCAATTGAGCAATCTCAGATTTGAAAAAGCTAAGAATTTCCAGGCTCTTTAGGCTTCCAATCATGGATATGTTGTTAGTGCGAAACTTGCAGAAATCCAAGCACAATTTCCGAATTTTCATTAAGGAGTTCAGTGGTGATGGTGGAAGTTGACGGAGCAAGGATCTTAGCACAAATACTCTCAATTCTTTCGTCCCTTCAGAAAAATCGTCCGAAGGACAAAGTTCAAATCTTGCGTGGTCCCTGCATTCCAACTGTAAAAGCTTGAGCTTTGGACAATCTAGGCCAGTAGGAAGCTCGTTGATTTCGTTGAACATCAATGAAATAGTTGTATAATGTTCATATGTATCTTCTAGTGGCCACTCTTTCAATCCAACATCACATCTTACCAAGTATGCATGTTCAGGTTGAGATGCAATTGATACGCATACATCGCGCACAACATCATGCAATTTCACATTTTCCTCATCACCGGCTAGAATCAAGTAACAACTTCTGAGTTTATCAATTAATGAGTACACCCTTTCTCTTGCTTTTGCCACGGTCGCAATTGGTTTGAATAAATGTAACCCAAACCCATATCTGACTAAGCATTCAATAGGAATATCATAATCTTCTGGAAATAAACTACAAAGTAGAAGCAATGATTGGGCTTCTATTATCAACACATCATAGCTCAACTTTATACTTAACTTCACTTTTTCTGGTTTTTCATTACACTCTCTTAGTTGCTGAAGTTTATCAATCCAAGAATGCTTGTTTCGATTTTTCCATAACGCCTTGGCAAGTGTTACAATTGCAAGCGGTAAGCCTCCACATTCATCTGCAACCTCTTTTGCCATGGTCTGTAGCTCAGTGATGTCATTAGTAATTCCTGCCACTTCTTTAAAAAGATCCCATGCTTCATCCTTAGATAGGACTTGAACAATGAAATTCTTTTGAGAACCCATCACACTACACACATGTTCATTTCGTGAAGTTAATACAACCTTGCACCCCTTATGGCCACCTCCATTTTTTCCCAAAGGAATTCCAAGTTTTCCCAAATCCATTTCTTCCCAAAGGTCATCTAATATTACAAGAATTCTCTTAACATTTGATAGTCTTTCACGAAGTTTACCTGCTCTTTCAAGAGGATTGGTTTCCTCTAAAAGACTCAAACCCAACATGCCTGCAAGATCACTTTGAATCTTGATCAAGTCTTGATTGTTGGACACAGTAGCCATGACAACCACATCAAATAACTTCTCATTTTTTGCCATTTTTGCAACTTCTTCCACCATTGTTGTCTTGCCTACACCGCCCATGCCGCTTATTCCTATAATGTTGGAATCATCATCCTTCAGAGCCACCATAAGTTCTTTTGTAGTCTCCATACGGGATTTAAAGCCCTTAAAGATTTCTGTCGATATAGATAGCATCTGCACCGGTGGTGCAGCATATGACAATTTAGTATACTAATCACCAACTTGTCTGAGTTCACCAATTTTTTGAGTCCTTTTTGTGGCTTTCTTGCTCAGATAGTAACGAGATATAAGATTTGGGCACGACCTATTTTCAAATTTGACTATGCATTTAAGAATTTCATCTGAGTCATCCTTGACCTTACTCACATCTATTAGCCAGGCCTCAACTTCTTGTTCAATATTCTCTATGTTTCTTTTGGCTGCATCTACTGATAGTTGAATCCCAGCTCTCATGTTTTCTAAATGAGTGACTTGGTCTCTCAGATTGTGAATGTTGCTGTTGTAGCAAAACAGATATCCAATCTGACGTCCAATTGGAATCACCAAGTAATCCGCCAACATATCTGTAAATTTTCCCAAAATAGAAAACCCAATTTCCTCAGCCATTTTCTTACTTCTTTTTAGTTCCCCTTCGTTCTCTCTCTTTTTCTTTGTTTTCTTTTTCGTTTTGTCCTTTCCTTTCAACAATCGTCAACGTACCTTTGTGACTAAAAGTGAAATAAAGAAGAAAAAAAAGTCAACAAAAGCAGAAAAATTTGTACTGAAATTGACAAGATGACATTGTTCTAGCACCCGCCTTTATGACAGAAAGTAAGGAACGACTTATGAACAACGCCCAATCTTTTGAATTGACTAAATTAGCACAACATAGATATAGTTCACTAACAAAGTTGAGCAAAGATTACACCAGACACCAAGCCGTTCACCAAAAAAGGATTTTGAGAGATTGCATATGCAATACGAAATTGCAGCAGCACAATCATGATAAACTATAATCAGTTGCTATCTAACTTGTGCATGCAAATTCACAAACCATCCCAGTGTCTCATTGCTTAAAAGTAGTCAGAGAGCCATATAGCAGGTAGAAGGTGAAAGGCAGACAAGATGATCTAAGGTTCTTAATATCCATTCACTGACAAGTACAATTATTCTAGTTCAAGATTGACATAATATTGCCAAACCTTGACAAATGGTAATTGCACATAGGTTATCAATCCAGACATGTCTTGTCGTTTCATATTCGAGTTGTGTCTTTTCAAGTTTGTTTCACGTATTAAGTAATTTAATTCGTTCCAATTAATCAATTATGTTAGATATCCTTATATTCACTTGATCTATCTATTAATTCAGTCATGTTCAACTTACTTTGTGTATCGAAAACATATGACCAAGACCTCTTTCTCTCTTGAGTAAATATTCCACCCATAGGTCCCCATAAACTAGGAATCCACACAATCTAAATGCTAGCCAAAATATGTAGAAAAAAATCACTAATTGCACAATGGTTCATCCAATTAAAGATCTAGAAATAAAAAAATAAAACATTTTTACTATGTCAGAATTTGATAGTTCATGTTGGACTCTAATACGATCAGTTTTTCATTTGTGTAAGAGGGTCATGTCAATTTTGGATTTG